ACTTAGATAACTACGACTGAATGCACTTCCTCCAGGAGTACCTCCTTGCCCAACACTTGCATAACTACCACTGAATCCACCATCTCCCGAAATACCTCCTAATTCACCACTTTCATAACTAGCATTGAATGCACCACCTCCAGGAGCACTTCTTAATCCATCACTTCCATGACTACCGCTGAATCCACCACCTCCAGGAATGCCTCCTAATCCACCACTTCCATAACTACCGCTGAATACACTAACTCCCGGCATACCTCCTAATGCACCTTGTCCATAACTATCAATAAATTGACTACCTCCAGGAGTAATTCCTAGTCCATCACTTCCATAACTACCACTAAATCGGCGACCTCCAGGAGTACCTCCTAATTCACCACTTTCATAACTAACATTGAATGGACCACCTCCAGGAGGACTTCTTAATCCGTCACTTCCATGACTACCACTGAATCCACCACCTCCAGGAATACCTCCTAATCCACCACTTTCATAACTACCACTGAATACACTAACTCCCGGCGTACCTCCTAATGCACCTTGTCCATAACTATCAATAAATTGACTACCTCCAGGAGTGATTCCTGGTCCATCATTTCCATAATTGCCACTAAATCGACGAGCTTGTGGCATACCTCCTAATTCACCACTTCGATAATTATCACTGAATCCACTACCTCCAGGAGTACCTCCTAGTCCATCATTCCCATAATTACCACTAAATTGACGACCTCCCGGAGTACCTCCTAACACACCACTTCCATAACTATCACTGAATCCACTACCTCCAGGAATACCTCCTAGTCCATCATTTCCATAATTGCCACTAAATCGACGAGCTTGTGGCATACCTCCTAATTCACCACTTCGATAATTATCACTGAATCCACTACCTCCAGGAATACCTCCTAGTCCATCATTCCCATAATTGCCACTAAATCGATGACCTCCCGGAGTACCTCCTAATGCACCACTTCCATAACTACCACTAAATTGACCTCCGCCCGGAGTAACCCGTAATCCACTAATTCCATAACTACCATTGGGTCCACCTCCTCCAAGAGTATTTGCATATGCAGCAAATCCACTATCTGCAGGAATACCGTTGTATGGACCAAATGCCGTACTTGCAGGAGTACTGACGTATGTACCAAATCCACTACCTCTAGGATAACCTCCAAGAATTCGACCAATGGCAGGATTCGGATTTTCTCCCATTAAGTTATTAAGATAAGCACCGAATGTAGCTACGTTAAATGAAATAATTTAGGAAGAGTCGTTTTTTTAAAAGGTATTTTTTTTATATATCTATGATTACTCATTCGATAAAGGAAAAGTTATCAATATGAGCCCCATAAAGAGTTAGAAATGTTGGAGTTGACAAACTCTGACTCTATAAATTTATGGCATATAGTCATACCTTTTAAAATAATTGATTAAAAAAGAAATATGAAATAAATGAATAAATGAAAATTATAAAAATTATCCCAATTGATACACACAATCTGGAATGTTACCATTTCGAAAATATTTTTCACTCAAAATTAGCATGATGAAATTTTACTTGATTCATTTAAAATAGTTGTACTGTAAAGAAAAACTCATTCATGCTGTGAGATAATCTGTAATACATGATTTATTTTTCGTTAATGTTCATGTATACTACGTATGCAAGAAAAACGGGCAAGTATCAAGGTACTTTTTGGTTTCATCGGTTTAACTACCATAATAACCTACTACATGCATTTATTCAATCGTTCAGCTAGTTGTCTAGTATACTATTCTTTCTTCTCTCAGCGAACTTTGACATTTTCTATCGAGTCTTCCCTCACCTTATAATACAATTAGTTCATATTTTTCTGTGTCTGTCTTTTTCTGATTCTGCTAGATCAATAATACTACCGTCTTACTGATTGACAGTTAGAATAAGATCCCTTTACTGCATTAAGAATCAAAACCTTCAAAATATATAGAATAGCTAGAATCTTCAAAGTTTCAGCATGAGATAAACACTTTTATTAATTACGTACTTTTCTTATCGTTTGGGAAACCTATGTAATAATCTTTGGCTTCTCCCACCCAGTTACTGAACTTTCAACTCACTATTGTCTACGAAAATAAACAAAAATTCAACAGGATATATACTTATTCAGACTTAGGATAAAAATTCGAAGCTTTTTAAATAACGTGACACAATTTCTATTAAGACAATACTCTGAAAATGATAAACGAACAAATTATTAGTGTTGATTATAGATGCAGCAGCTACTAAAATTTCTCAGCAAGATTTATTTTCAATTTTGTTTTTCTGTCTTCGTCTTAAAAAGAATCCAAGTAGTACCATCAAATTATCTAATTGAAAGTTTCTACGTTCTATTTCTCATAAAGTACTATGAACATGCCTTCATAGACATTTGTAAGAGCACTATATCTATGAAAAACTGGTCGTAAAAATCTTGTTGATATCTTCTTTTTTTTGAGAGCTTCTCGCTTTATCATGTCGTGAACTTTGCACAAAATTCTATTCGTGCGCGTATCAAGTTCTGAAAACTTGGTGATTCGGCTTTGAGGACATTCTGTCTTTTGTCATCTAATAATCATTTTCTTTTCTATATTTTTATTGTGTATTTTTTTTCTATTCGATTCACTATTTAAATTATTTTTTGTCATTAAGACAGCGGAAGAAATTGGCCAAATAGGCTTGTTAAATAGTGCTGATAGGAAAAATACATATACATGTATATAAATATAATAAAAATGAGAAATAAATCATATTCTAATAATATTAGCAATCTAATTTTAACATTCTTACTGTTTAATGCACCAGGAGTATGAGTTTGAATCCACATATCATATTCTAATTCTGAATTCGTATAAGGATTGAAGCCATACATATTTATTATAGTATTATATGCGTCGAATACTGATGAATATTTCTATGTTTTGATCAATGAATAAAAACTTATTTATTTACATCTATTTATATATGATTATGTTATTATTGTAATATGATAAATATGAGTAATGAAAAATTTCTCATCCATAACTAAAAGCAACATAATTAGTCATCGAATCTCTATTCACAAAACCCACACTTGAAATTTTCTTTTTTCCTTAATTTTTCTTCATTTGACGCGAATGGATATTTATATTACACATGCAACAAATTTATTTTGTAAGATAGAATTGGATTTTTTTTCCTTTTATATTTCTACAGGATTTTTTTTTCTGACAGAATATTCAATTGTTTTTATCTTAAGATCGTTGAGTGTGTATGTTTACAAGCAAATAATATATGAATGATCATAATATATCATGACTAATGTTTAACCTTGTGAATCAAAGAATATTATCCTCACATCTACTTATTAATCATATATAAAAACGTAATATATTTCTCATCTATTAATTGAATAAAATAAAAGCTAGTATTTAATATTTTAATATAATGATTCATTTCAAAAGATAATCACAAAGAATAAAATTATTTAAACAACAATATTCATTTATAATAATATATTTCGTGAATATTATTCATGTTCATATGATAATTAATAATAAACAAAATAAATAAAATATTTTCATTTTTAAATTTAAATATTTTCAAAAACAAAAACAAATATTAATTGAAAAATTCAAACTATCATATCATTATAATAGAAATAAACGACTAACATATGGAAAACTAACCTTATTATAATCATAACATATTTTTATATTTTATAAATGAAGACATGATTTTATTTAAAATAAACAAACAAGATAAAATTATTTATTTATTAATGAGAATAATTAATTATTGAATTTTTTTAAATTAGGCAAATAAAAATAAATAATCTTATAGAATATATCATAAACAATTTAGAATTTATTATTATATTAATATATGAAACACAATAAATCTCTTGATAATATCAACGAGATTAAAAAAACACGTTTTCATATTCATTTCATATAGAATATATTGTAAGAGATGATTTGATGTGCACATTAAGAAAGAAACTGGAAAAAAAATAATCATATAACTTTAAATATATCGATAGTCAAATTGTCTTTAGTTTTGTTTGTTACGAGTGATTTTCATTTATAGATTACCTTTCATATCGCATATTGTGATATAATAAAAAAACAATCTTGTTGTAATCAACTATTTATACGTCCAACTATAATTAGATACATTTATTATTGAATTTATAGTAGTTTTAGTACTTTTTACATAGCATATGAACATTCATAGGCCATATGGAGAATACATTCTGTTTACATCAGTAACTGATCTACTTTATTGTCGTGTTTTTTTTTTTATTGAAAATGTTTCTATTTCGATATATTCTTTCTTAACATTTTAACTAAATAAATGTTTTAGATTATTCTGTTTGTTACATGTTTATATATATATAGTTGAAACATGCAAAGATATTGATGCTAAAACAATATTCATACTAGTCATCGATAATAAATTGACAAAATATTGAATATTCAATCATCACTAAACTAAATATCAACCAATTTTAGAAATAAAATAAACATCAATACTTGTTGATACAATATATATATATATATATATCATCATTAAGTAAACTCGAATAGAAATGCAAAAAAATACTACTAGATATAATCGAGTACTAGCCAATCGTATTTGTATGTTATATTACGGTAAAAGTTTATTTCTACCAGGAATTATTTCTTAATATGTTGATACTACTTGTGAATGTTATATCATTAGAAACAGCATATATGAGAAAATTCTACATAAACAACAATCATAAGAATTTTTATTTATAAAGAAAACTGATAGATCGGTCTATTCCTTCGAACATTCGGGTATTCGTTAACATCAATGTCATTACTTATTTTTAAAGGAATAATACTTACAGGCTTGCACTCAATCTATCAATGATAACATTTAATTATTATCTTCAATCAAATTTATACTCTATTGGTTCGCCATTGACATACAATGATAGTTATTTCCTTGTTGTTGTTGTTGTTGTTGTTTCGTTTCTGAGTTGTTCATCTTTTCTTTTCATTTCTATATTCTTTTCACTATTCCTTATTTTGGAGTAGGATGTTTTTGCCAAGTTGAAAACTTCATATACATTGGGCATTGTTGTTGTATCTTAGTATACACTTGAAAATGGAAGAAGAATTTTAATCAATCCAGGACGAAGAGTTTTCTTGAAAGATACAGGATGTTGTCGGATTCCTTGATACAGAATTCCTATCGAATGTCGGATCCGACAGCTGAAAAACTTCGTATACCCATAGAATCTGTTTGGACCCAATAAAATCATGTTTTATTTATATCTGAACACAATATATTGTTTAGCTCCTGTTAAATAAGAAATTATAAAATAAGTAAAATAAAATAAAAATAAAAGATACCACAATAAAATAAATTAAAAAATACAAAAAAACTAATCTCAACAGAACAAAATGCAATAAAATGAAAACAAAAAAAAATAAATTATTTCTGATTGCTGGTCGTTGGGTTGTATAGCTGTCTTTGTCACCGTGAACAGTCGTTTCCGAACGTGAATGGTTTACCTAAGTCAATGGAAAATTAGTTCGTGTCCTCATAAATAGTGTCACAAATATACTTCACATGTTGTCTAATAATGACGAAAAGCAAAATTGGATGCATTCATATCATCGGATTTTGTTGGATATCATCGGATTTTTTCCTCAGAATCCGATGGCAGAAATCGTCGAAAATTAACGGCTAATGATTGTTTCCAATTATCCGATAGTTTCGAACCCGATAGAATCCGGCAGGATGAATTTGACCTGAGTTGATACTCTCTCTTTCTTTCCGCTATAAAAATACTGTCATTTTTTCTATAAAGTAGTATGATTGGGACTTATAAATAAATATCATTTTACGCGCTACATATAGTATTGTAAGGTTTTTATGGTTTCAGTTTTCAGAATTGCATCAGAATCATTAAGTGAAAAGTCTGTAAATAATGTAAGTTCGATGTTGACAGATTTAACCAACCATGAATTATAAGAATTTTACTGTATGTCATGGACACGTTTTTTTCATAGAAAATTACCTTCTTTATAATGTTTTTTTAATGAAAAATCCACCTTAACAGAATGAAAAGCTAGTCAATAAATATTTATAGTATTTCTTTTTCGAAATCGAGAATATTTTCTTCTATTAAATCATTATCATCAGTAACTTGTTCTTTTTCAACATTATTATTTAATGAGGTTTTCGTTGAATCAGTTGCTGATACGTATATTAAAATTGAACTTGATCAATAAGACGAATATTTTTTATTTTGTGTAGATTTAATTATCATTTGAATATCATTGAATTCATCAAATAAATCATATTGATTTAAGTTTTTTCTTTGAAAGAATAGAATACATTTTGGAAAATGATCCCGTATAATATCATTAGTTGTTAATAAACGAAACGAACCTATAGTTTCATTGAGTAATGCAGCAAAACGTTTAGTTTCAATTATCTTTCATTTATTTTAATATCATTGAATAAGAGAAACGGTAGAAAATATTATGCAAGAATAAACGAAAAATATTTGCTCTTTTCAGCTAACCAATAAACGAAACATTTGAATTTTCTTCGTGTCATTGACAAGTTTTTACGAGTATGAACAGTTAAGTGAAATATCATGAAAATAGAAAGTATCAAAAATCCGAAAACCAGAAAGATTTCAGAAAAATTTGAAAATCCTGAAGATTTGGTAACATTGGTCATTACCTCAAAGATTACAGCGAACAAATGACGATATTGGTGAAGAGTTCTGTCATCATCATAAGAATTCCTCCCTTTCAATCGATCAACAGTAATATCTGTTGCCGAAGCCTTAAATATCGTCGTAGAGAATGTATAGATTAAGTTTTTTATGCTATCGAGATAGTTAAATAATAGTGGATTGATTGTCTCCAATAATTTAAGGCTACCATAAAAGAACTCAATCGTATGCAATTCAAAGATTCCGTACGATTTTGAAAAACATAGTTGTAAAATTTCTCATTGGACTTCGATTGAGTAGAAATCTGAGTCAGCTTCCATTATTCAATAGTAATCGAAAAAAGATGATATACTTTCAGTCCAAAGAAGAATATTGCAACTATTGGACAATGCGTGAGAAATAGATTAGCGTCAGAGTTGCAGAATATAGTGTATATACTCTAAAATACAAATAAATACGACAAATTTCTTCAGGCTAACAACTTATTTTGTATAGCATTGCTTATTAACTAACAATATAACGAAGAAGTAAACTATCGGCTTATTTGTTTAGCTTTATTTCAATTCGAAAAGATATATATATATATTTAACAGGACTTTTGATAAAATAAACTCAACATAATCAATTAAACAACATCTCGTCTTAACTAAATAATGACTCACGATTTGATCTTGAATAATTTTCACGGTTAATGCAATTCATATTCTTTCAGAAATATTCAGTATCACGTCATTGTTCCAGAAGCTTTTATGTTTTGATACAAATCTGAACTTGCTCGTCAAATGTCTCTTGATTTCAGAGGAAATTGTGATGGAAATAAAATATCGCAATAGATATTGTTGTTTCATACATATTTCATTTGTGATTTTGAAAATCATCATTGATGAGAGAAGGTTGCCACATATGAGTTGTCAATTCTAACGGAAGAAATATTCAGTTTTAGAAATTGATGGGTAGATTCAAACGGTACAATGGTTTTTTCTCCATGCAGTTTGAAATTTCGCGAACAGTCAGCGTTACATATTGAAAATGATATGGAAGGCATGTAGTTTTTCAGATATTCTAGTTCGAGAGGATAATATATGTTATTGATCTCGTCACTTATAACATTCGATTCTGACAGACTAGATAAACATATATCCATGCATATCTTATTTTATATTAAACAA